TATTTCGACCTTCGGCTATTATTTCAAACGTATTTAAAATAAATATATTGTATTAATTATATAGTATTTCTGTATTACATGTTTATTAGATTTATTCGCGAACACTCTAGTGGGCTGATTTTGAACTACTGGTAACTACTACATTCTGGCTTTAAACTTGCGAATCACTCTTTGAGAAACATCATGAGTATATGCCGGCTTTTTGGTTAAGTTGCTAAGAAGGTGAAGAGATGCAGTTTCTTACGATGCCCGCACCCGCAGCGCCGTGACGTTGTGCGTAGGCAACCCACATGGCAGTGGTGTTTGGCGGATCATTAACAGTTCTTGTAATACGGCGCACCGCGTGCCATTCACTAACACAGCCGTTTAGTACCTGACTCATTTTCATTTAATTTCTGAAAATGTTTGTTAGTGGAATTTGTGTTTGGAGTTATAAAAATGAATTGAGTAATTGAAATATACGCGTGTTAAACGTACGAATGTTACGTACAAAAATGAATTATGAGTTATGTATAGGACGAAGATTGATGTAACTGCAGTACTTCTATTATTATCATTCGTAGGTAATTTTAGTTCTTGTAAATTGAAATATGACGTCAATATACCTCCGCGTTGAGATGCGGGCATGGCGGCGGGCGCACAATTTTCCAATGCGACGAAATGGGACAAATGAAGTTTTAATGATTTTATTTAGGAAACTATTGATTCATTTTTTAAGTAACAATTCTATATATTACAATATATTCAACAATTTGTATTTCTATCCAATAATTCTAACACAAACTATATTTGTACTTCTCCCTTCAATCACACAAAGTTCTTCTGCGTATTGACTACAAATAAATAAAATTTTAATTAAAGTGTTGCATAATATAAATATAAAAGCAGATTCACTTGTATTTTGATTTGTTTCTCTTCATTTTTTTCTACTGTTCATTTCTGAATCTTAATCTTGCTCTTCTTAATTTTGCTCATATTCAGACGCGTGACACGCACAACGACTCTTCAGATGGAATTTCTTAACATATTGTCGTTTTTTACAATCACCCCAAAGATATCGCCATTGCTTCAATATCCACAAACAGAAAATTTTCTTCCCTAACAGAAAAGAAACTAAAGGGCGTAGATGATATTTGATTCCTGCAACTTGAACCAATTACAATGGTCCGTTGCATAGGTTTTATTTTCCTAGAGGCACTATCGGTCCACACTTTTGCTCGGACTCTTTTGAGTCCGTTATCACAGATGACTTGATATCACTCGTACCCTGGTGGAAAAAATCACCTTCGTGTGATACAGTGAGATTTTGGAGCGAAATGGTAGATGTCACAAGCGCGAGAGAATAAGCTAGCAATGGTTGCTCGTGATAAAACAGCATGAGGGACAGAGCCACAAACATTTCATATTTGAAAAGTTGTTAAATTAAACTATTTCTTTGCACAGAAAAATCGTGCGTTTCTCGCGCAGTCAGCAAAATAGAAGGCACTTAATCTCCAAAAGCAAAGAAAAGGACATCAGTTTCACTGATTCGAAAATGATTAGACTTTTGTATACGAATGCTTAGTAATAAAATATTCCAGAAAAAAGTTTGACGCCTCTAACGGGATGTGTCGCTCGAGGGATGTAAGGGTATATACTTGTACACGATGTTGGAGTGGTAATCCTATCAGAAGAGCGATGAACCGCTGCTTTGTACAAATTGATGACTTTCATTTGTCGTTGGTCAATTTGCACCTGCTGTTCTTCTCGCATAATTCTCCAGCCACGTGAACAGAAATCGGTGGTTTTGTTACGAACGTAAGAGATTTGATGAATAAACGTTTTCGCGAGTGAATCAAATAGTAAATAGAAAGTGCGGAAAATATTAATTTCATAGATACACTATTAAAAATACTTCCTCCAAATATATCCTCGTACTATCGAGAATGTTGATGGTTTCCTCGTCCAACCCCTCGAAACTCGTCCCAAGAGCCCGCAGGCGTCCTGCGGTCCTGCACAACGTCCCACCCCACCTTCCCTCCCCTTCCCGTCGCTCAAGAGAACGTAGTAGCAGCTGCGGCAGCGGCGCCGGCGACGAGCAAGGGTTGCTTGGCGAGTCGCCCGAAATAGCGAGCGCTCGTCGGCCGTGCGGCGCCGCTTATGACGGGCGGGGCGCCGCCACGTAATCGCTATTTTGGCCGCGGGCGGACGGCAGCAGCAGCCAGGGGGGGGGGCGAGATGGCGAGCTGGGCGGAACGGGGACACGCGTCCGGGTGCAGATCGCGGAGACACGCGTCCGGGGACAGATGGCGGGGACGCGTGTCGCGGGGAGAGAGCGGGTGACTGGGAGGGAGTCGAAGGGTCGACCGCCGCCAGTATCGCTGGGCTATCTCAACACCCGGTTCCCGCTCGCGGCCTGTGTACTCTGTTCAGTCATGTGACGTGTTGTTTTGACACTAATTGTAGTACGTTATTGGGGGGGGGGGTCGTTGAGTAACGCGTAGGAACGGTTCGTAGTATTCATTTCACAAACGTTTGACTAACTAATACTGGAGCTATTATTTTTGTTATTCAGTCGATTGGAGAGTTTGCATAAAATGAATAGATTCATGTAGCTAGAATGAAAAAATGAACACTTCAAACAGTTTTTTTAACAATTACTATTTACATGCATAATTATTTGGTTAACATTTAGTGTACTGCAAATTTAGTGTAATTCAAAGCGAAATGAACGTAGACATGTCGGACCCTTTGAAATTCGACGAAAATGGCCTGTCCGTTACACTCATTTAATGGCAAACACTCATATTCTCGTCTTCTTTTCTACATGATTTGTAACAGTTCTTATAAGTTTTTTGGTGAAAATATCGAAATAAATCACGCATGAAAACATCCTCTCGTCTCTAACTGCACATATTGTAGTTTGGGGCATTAACAGCTTAATTAGCACCTTGCGATTAATATCTATGTCGCATTCAGTCGCTGCCTGGAGGAGAATCCTAGCGCCCAGTTGCTCTGATTGGGAGTTTTCCTTGCCTTTCTCCGATCAACACCAGGCGAATGGCGGAGCGGTGCCCTAACAAACGGGCCGCGGACCACGAGCGATCTTACTCTTCTATTCCTTGCCTTATCTTCGCCATTCACACGCACTACACTACTACACATGCCGGGAGATCAGAGCTTGAGCTCAGAGCTTGTCCCGGCCTGGGGGTGCCCCGCTGGTGGGAGGTACCTGGTTGGGGAAACACCCACTAGTGGACGGGTAGGTCAGCGCCGGAACTCGCCATTCAGCGGAATGGTGTCACCACCTACTCCCGAGGAACAAACCTGTACTACACGTACGGGACTAATGATAGCACTTGATGCTTCCGGAATCATTAATCAATCAAACGAATTAATCCGTTCCAGAGTTGTATAAATTTTCCCAACATGTTCATTTTACACTTTCCAACTTTGTACTTCCTATTAGTTTTCCTTATTTTGTTTTATCAGTTTCATTGAAACCCACATGCACAGATGTTTGGCGAGTTCACGAAATCTCTTTGGAAGCCACTGAACGTGATCTGCCCAACATATGTGCATAAAGGGTTGCCTAGCAATCAGGAGCTAATGTGAAGTTTGTAAATTCTTTACACACGTTACACCGAAATTTCCCACTATATGCTCATTGGAGAAAGTGATTGTTTTTGACCCCTCTGCAAACACTAGAAGTTTCTGACACTTTTTCGAAACATCCTGCTTCATAACAGATGGCGATAAGTATTTCAATGCTTGAAATATTTCTACTTGTGTTTTCCTAAGCCTGTGCTTATATGTTGAGTAATACATTTCAAGAGACCAGAATAAATATCTGAAAAGTAATTAGCCTGGGTCGTAACATTTGTGTATTTATTTGTGAGTGAATGTATGTAGATTATCACTCCGGTGGCATTACTGTACGTCCTTCAAAGGTAAAGGTGTGCAAGTTGACCAATATGCTTTGTTTGTTGGGAATATAAATCGCACGATGTGGAGTGAAGAGATAAATGGCGTTTGCTGTGTGCGCAGTACACGTTCCTGCTGCTGCTCATCTTCCTGCTGGAGGCGCTGGTGGGCGTGCTGGCGTACGTGTACCAGGGCCACGTGGAGGGGGAGCTCAACCAGAACCTCAACCGGACCTTCGTGGAGAGCTACTCGGTGGACGAGGCGCGCACCGCCGCCATCGACAGCGTGCAGCATGACGTAGGTTGCCAGCCTCAGCCCCGTTCCGGCAACCGCACCCCGCAGCCCTCCTGCCCCGCAGCCCCCCCTGCCACCCAGTCCCCCCTGCCCCACAGGCCCACCGCCCCGAACCTCCCTGTCCCACAGCCCCTCCTGCCACCAGCCCCCGTCCCCCAGCCCCTTTACCACGACCTCCAGACCCCCTGCGTGCCCCCAGTCATTCGCTTACTCCATTCCCACCTGTCCCCATCGTGTCACGTCCCACTCCTGTCCCCTTACCCACTCATGTGTTTTCCTCCCTCTCTCTCTGCATATTCCCTTCTTTTCCTTTTGTTTCTCTCATTCTTATTCTTGTGTCTTTCCCATTCTTATCTTTTTTCCAATTTTCTTTCTCATCTCTTCCACATTTCAATAAATTTTAATGTACGAATGTATTTGTTTTCAATGTTTTGAATTTTTTAGGTGTTTGAACTAGCGTGACACTCTCCAAAGCACTCCCACGCCATCGAATATTGCGGCACGCAAGCTCTTGTGTGCATCAGATACCAAAGAATAATCGTGATTGTCTAGGGCCCACTCCTACCAAACTCGCGTGCAGGGAGTGATAGAAATTTAACCAATCATTTCCTTAGTGTTACGTGCTTGATATATTCATAGTTCGAAAGATAGTGTTTCCTTTGTAATCTATCTATTGGTTTTCTCTTATTTTCCATTTTGATTTTTTACTGCAACAGCTAACGGGTGATAAGTCACATTTTTCGTGTATCAATGCACTAATATCTGACGTTATGAGAATTAAATTATAACCAAATAACCTGAGATAAATTTACAGCTGGCCTTACAATATATAATGAAGAGTACACAAAGAATTTTCATTTAAAAATAAAATCAAACAATTCCATAATGTTCCTATATCTTTTATTTTAAATAATATTTTCTCTAAACGCGTACTTAAACGCTGCATGTGGAAAATCCACCCTCTATAACTGCTTAAAATTCCTTTTCACTCAGGATTCACTCGTGCACATAAAGTAACTAGTGGTGCAACAGAATGGCACAGACTTTCTCGTTGTAATCCTTTCTAATTCCTATGGTGTGGACTGGCTTTACGGTCTTGCCCCATCTTCTTGCCAGCTGCCGTCTACCGCCGCCCAAAACACATGGTTTGCGATTTTCTTAATTTTTTAAATCATTTTAAAATAATTACACAGGCACGCAAAATGGAAAAAAGGTGTCAGACACAAAGACTAGACACATGTCTCTCGTGTATGTCGATGCCTTGACCGGGAGAAATGGCCCAGGGCATTGATGTCACTGCAGTCCCTCTGACCGAGAGCTCCTAGCTTCCAGTCCCGACGGTAACAGGATATTCAACACTAGCTTGTCAGCCAGGTTTCGACACCAGCTTGTCGACTTCAGTCGCTGTCTGGAGAAGAATTCTAGCGTCCGGCTTCTCTGATCGGTAGTTTTCTGTGGTTTCTCCGATGAATACCAGGCTAATGCCGGAGCAATACCCTAACAAACGGGCCACGGACTGCGCACGATCTTTCCTACCTCTTCCTTGCCCTATCCTCTCGCCTCCACACTTGCACTAACACGCTCTACACAAGCACACATGCCAGAAGACCGATCGGGAGCTTAGAGCTCGTCCCGGGTGGGGCGGTGTCCCCTGACGGGAGATACCTGGTTGGGAAAAGTCCTGTGGCCGACGGTAGGTTGGCGCCGGATCTCGCCATACGCGAGGGAAAATCACCGCCACCTCCCGAGGAAAACATGCACTAAACTTACGGAACTAATGACCCTGGTAGTAGGCCTGTCCGGAAGCAATCAATTAGTTAATCAATCCGTTGAATCCGAATCCTAGCCCGAATTCCGCCAGAAACTTCCTGTTCTTCGGAAGAAAGAAAAAAAATTAAAAAACGACATAGAATTAAAACTTCCCATCACATGAATTTCCAGGAGATACACATTTTAGCGTGCGAATATTTCTTGTATCCTATATTAACATTAGAAACACTGTAGTTTATAAAAACATCGTTTTAATACGCACGTGGAACCTAGTAAATTTACTAATTCATATGATGGATTATAGAGCAATTTTTGAAGATGGAAATAATTATTTTCCGAAACGTTTCTATTACTATTATGAATCACATATATTGTGTTGCAGTCATATTGTATTTTTATGTAAAACAGTAATCCTTAAACAAATTTCCGTCTTCAAAATAAAACAAAAGACCAAAAGCGAGTGTATGTCCTTGCAGTTCAAATGCTGCGGTGCCATCCGCTTCGAGGACTGGGAGGGGAGCCGCTGGCACAAGGGCCCGCCGGCGCTGCAGCCCCACCGAGTGCCTGACTCGTGCTGCCGCTCCATGAGCCCCGACTGCGGCCTCAGCCACCACCCCAGCAACATCTTCTACACCGTGAGTTGGGGCTGGACTTTTTTATCACAGCGCGTACCCTGAAATTCTTTCCCCTTAAGCGGCACACGAATCTATTTTTGCCTCGATAAAACAAATATCTTAAATAATGTACTCGCAATCTGCATTGCGTGTTTCTCCTAACAGTAATTTTAATCATAGTTTGAGTAATTCAGAAAATGTATGTGCAAAAGATTAATCTAATTTCTTGAACATTAGACCTTAAGTTTTTTTTCTGCTATGAGCCTTCCCGTATATGTGAATTTGTCATTTTGGATGGATTGCCCAACTTTGCCGGCTAGCTCCCCCATGCCTGGACCTAGTTTAATTCCCACGCTTGGGGGTTAAGAGAGACACGGTGAACGTGACGCATTCCCTTCACCTAACTAGCCAACTTCACCTGCCGGGGCTCTACTTCGTCATAGAGCTAAAGGAACTGATAGCTTTCCTTTACAAATCATCTAAGTCTCTTTTATCTCGATTAAACGAAAATCTTGAATTAAATATATGCACAATCTGTGTTGTGTGTTTCTCCTAACAGTAATTGTAGTTAGTTTGAATAAGTAACAAAATATATTTACAAGAGATTAATCTAATTTCTTACACATTACACCTCATTTTTTTCTACTCGTATAAGCCTCCCCAGGCGGTCACAAAGCGCCTGGGACGCAATGTGCTTGAGGAATGTGTTCATAGGCAGTCAGTATTGGCAAAGCAGAGTGTTGCTCTTCATCCATTGGGTAAAAAATAGCAAAAATATGTAAATACGTAAGGGGTGAGGATACCATGCATACCGCCAAAGTTAAATTTGCTACTATTGATGTACCTTTTCTAGAAAATGGTTAACTAGAAAATTTAGATATTCCACACACTTACAAATAAAATATTTTTTCCTTCGTGAATTGGCCTTTCTAAAGACAACGCGAACGTGCAGTTGTACCCTCCCAGGCCTAGTCACATTTTTTCCCTGGCACGTGAATTTTATTAGGGAGCCCAGCATTTGGCTGGGTCTATTTTTACACCCCGGGGTTGTTACCACTGCGAGTTTGGAAGATGCAATGATGACGATTGTGCGGGTTAATAGTACGACCACACATAGACATACACAAACACACCCATGATCGAGGCAGGACGATTTTGTGGTCGGAGACCGCTACGGCACTAATGCTGTAACAGTACCTACTACTGTGCATCTGACCGGTAAAGATAAAACCTTTGTTATTATTTTGTCGTTTGTTTTAGTTGATTAAAAAAGTACTAGTATTTTTTCAATTTTAACTTTGCCCTCATTTTTTAGCATTTTTAGCAACATCATTTTGTTTTATATTTTTTATTATTGAAGAATGTTTATATAAAATGTCAATTTATTGCCAATAATATAAAGAACGTATCTTGTAAATTTCAATAAATTGTGAATAATAGTTTCTTAGAAAAGGTACATTAATTACAAAATAAGTACATTTTTGGGAAGAGCCATTTGAAAAAAAGGCTCTACTTGCTGCTGCTCTTCTAGAACATTCTTGCTTCGTATTGCGGATCATCTTCAGCAGAAAAGTCCAATATTACCAACGTATGATCATGTTTCATTAACTCATAAACAATCCAACATGCGTTGAAAATTACAAACACATAGCACTTACTTGTATGCAGTTTCAAAAACGGGGTGTAGCTCATGTTCACTAGAACATTTAAATAAGAATTAAAGGGACTTCAGGCGTCCTTGAAGAAAATGGATTGGAAAAAATATTTGGAACGAGCAAGGTTTGAACTAGTTATTTAACCAAAAACAACAACGAAATCGATAACTTGATCCATTTCATGGCACCTTCTCCCCTTTACCGGATACGATATCGGCAACATCGTTGCTTCTGCAGCGTCGTTGACAGAGCAGCAATGGAGTAGTTTGGCGGGGGGGGGGGGCGGTCCGCCCTGGGTGACACCATGGTAGGAATGAATTAGAATTAGAAGTGAATCAATTAGAAAATTTATAGTTGGAATTTTATAGTTTTAAATCTTTTCAAATATTTATATATTTAAATCTTATACACTAAGAAAGCAGAGAAATAATATGAACTGAAAACCTAAAAGGCATGCATTTGTTAATTAGTTATACTTTGTTTTAATTTTTTTAATCTATATTTCAGTTATTCTGAATTACATAATTTTTAATATACTATAAGTAAATGTCACGTCCAAATATACTTATAAAATATGTTCCAGGATTAACTCTTGACTAAAATAAATGTTTTGGACTACTATGCCTTACTAATGAAATTCCCTGCAAAATTACCTTCAAAAATGAAAATTAAGATGCATTGGACCACGACAAGACGACACACTTATGTGTGCACCTATAATAAACTTGATTTTTAAGTGGTCTGTTTGTATTTTACTATGTTTATGAAGAGTAATGTTGACGTTTGCTTTTCAGGGATGTGTCTACAGAATCAAACAAGAAATTCAAGCCCATCTTGTAATCCTTGGAGCAGTGGGATTGGGAATTTGTGTACTTCAGATATTTGGAATGGTGCTGAGCTGTTGTCTATACATAAAATTAAAGGACATAATAGACTAGCAGTACATCTCTATTTAATGGCAAAACGTACTTGAAATTCTCAGAATTTCTTAATTTTTGTGAAGACAAAAGAGAAAGAAAACAAACAAACCAACGTTAAACCCAAAGGAACATGGTTAACCCAAAGAAACAGGTAAACGTATTGTCTCGAATATAAAGAGAATAAATTCCCTACATGAAGTATTACAGCAGTTTTTGCTGCTCCATTATCACATTTTTATTGTTTGCCAAAGTATAAGCATATTTTAAGAAAGTGAATGTATAACAAAAAAGTTCTAGATATAATCATTACTATATTTAATAAAATTTCTGTAGGATGATATATTGTTTTCTGTATAATTTAATCAGAACTACATATAATAGAAAGTTTCTGGCAGTAATATGTAAGCTTTTATTCAGATCAGATTATATTTATTACTTTATTGTTTTGCATTCCAATTCGAAGTTTTAATTCATTATACATGCAATTGCATTGCCAAAAAATGTACCAGAACTGTTCACTATGATATTCTTAGTGATAAGTGTTTGAAATTCCAACAAAGAGGCTGCTTAACATTGTTAAAAATAGAATAGAGATTCCCAACGTTTTCAAATAGAACAAATTCATGTCAGAGAGACTTTGTTTGTCTTGATGTAATGTATAGATATGTGCTTGTCTATACCAAAACCTAATGAATTATACTGATGTATTTTTAATTTTGAAAGTGACTTAGGAAGCTAAGAGAATAAAAGTTCCTTTTGCAGTCTGGTTGAAGAACTCAGAAAAAGTCAACTAAATAACGACAGAATAAGAACAGAAGCAAAAAGAAACTAATAAAATAAGAGAAAAAAGCAATTAATAAAATGATGCCCTTGGAACAACAATTAACAACAAAGTACAACCAGATGTAACCATATTCATGTAATGGATGGAGATAGTGTATATGTGTATATCTCAATAAAATCTTGAAATTAAAGTTGCACATATACTATTATCTTCCTTCTTCCAACTTTTGGAGAAAATTTCAAAGTAACAATAGGTGACATTGAGAAGGCAACTATTTATCACAGGTACATTTTTTACCTTCTCACACATATATATTAAAATAATATTATTTATTATTCTCTTTTGCTGTGAAAAGGGATGAATGTTCCTGTGAAATACAATCTTCAATATTGCTTGTACCTAATCCTTGACTTAAATTGCTTTTAAGTTTTTATTTTATGACATTATTGTTCTTTGATGTATCTCATAAAAAATATAGTACATGGGTCCCTAATGTGCACTGAGTATGACTTATTGATGGTTTCTAATAATTTAACTGCAGAAATTCAACTGCAGAATTCAAAGTTAAATAATATTACAACCATTTATAATATTATCACTTCTTAAATAATGCTGTGAAGACTTGAAGATTTACTAATGGTGCATTGCCAAGATACAAACATTTTCTCTTTTGTTATGTGCATTTGAATTAGTTACATAGAACTATTACTAGAAGTATTTCAAACAGGTGATAGAATTTGAATACACAATGAGAAAGTGCTTCTGTTTATCTTTTTCTCTTCTTAACAAAAGATATTCATGAGATATTCAAAACAAAAATTAGAAATTAGCTTCTCAAACTCCAAATAAATGATTTCCTCTATGATTTCAAATATATTACAGTAACCATATTAACATGTTACTTTTGTTAAGAGCTAGGTACACTAAGAGTAATGTTAACTGTGTCTTTCCACTGGTTATGTGTTGTTTTAAACAATTGTTAATTAAATATTGAAATTTTAGGTACTAGGTCCTATGTGTCTCTTCAGAATTCTAACAAGTTTTTCATATTTTGCTAATATATTGCAGTTGTTTTATTTAACTTTCTTGAGGTTTCTCGGTTGTCCATATTTATTCGCATTTAATCTACAAACTATTATATGCATTGTTGCTATCAAATTTATTAATATATATGCTAATACTAGCTAAGGACTGAATCCTAGGGCTGTTTTTCTTTATATGAAACACAATAAATGAAGAAGAGATTTCTTTCTCTCTCATAAAAATCTTTCTTAAAATATTTTCTTAATAATATCCTTGAAAGGTTGAAATGCTATTTTTCTGCAATAATAAGCCACTTTTCAATATTAAGCATATTTTTTTGAACTATTGTTTTAAATAAATTCTGTAATGATGGAAAACAGTGGAGTCACAAAAGGGACAAGTGCTGAGGGTTTGAGTCGCCACAAGTCAAACAATCTAAGCGGGTTATATGGAGGGATACATTTTTTGAATTTCAAAAGTAAATAATTTTTGTTAGGTGTTACAACCTTTAAAATGAAGACTAAAAGTGAACCTGATGCAAGGCTACAATGTATGTGTAATTTGTGAATAAGTATATTATATATCACTATAAATATACACTATTGTGTAAATTTTATAGGTAGTGGCCTGAATGATGATATGTTGGACATGATTGATTGATTGATTGATTGATTATGATGATGTTCCTCTTAAACTTTTGTGGTACAGTTTCATTTACAAAGAGAGGTTATCAACTTCTTTGAAAAAGAAGTGTGTGTGAAACTGTAAGTATCTTAAATCAAAAGTACTTGATAAAGATGCTAGGGAGTAGAAAAGAAGTCAAGAAACCAATTTCTAACCTACCTTTTTCCTTTCATGGTCATTAAGATTTACTGAATAAAGTATTAATGAAGTGTACTATGAAATATAACTCTTATACAAAACTAGTTTGATAAATGTCCTCCTAAATTTGTTTTGTACCAAATTGTTGCACATTTGTGTTAAGGTTAAACCAGGCAGTTAAATTATTTGTGCCACAAAACCCTGAATTTAACATCAACACCAAGGGTTAGAATGTGTAAAATTGTGTAGTTGTTGTTTTAACTGTGTTGAGGCTAAAGTGTGGAAAATATTTGGTAAGTGAATTCATTTTTGGAAGCATTGAGAATTTCTTTATGAAATTTCATACCATTTCAGTTTTTAAGTGGAAGGTGGAATGAATGAACGAATGATTGTTTGCTAATTTCTTTAAGCTTATAAGAAAATAATGATGCTGATTGTTCTTGTGCTGAAGCCAAGTCATTGGTTGTCATATTTGCAAAGGCAGAATGACAACAATAGGGAATGGACACAATACACTAAGGTGCTTTAAGGTTTTTTTGAAAAATAAATTATACTGAATGCAGTTTTTTAGTACAAATATTTTTGATTACATCAATTTGCCCAAAAATTACGTTCAAAAAAACTTGGTTAAATAGAAGCATTAGCTGTTTTATGATAAGTAAAAGAAGTTTGTATGATTGTGAAACAAAACATCTCAATTTATAGAAATTTGGGTAATTTAATTTACGACATCAAAGACCTTAGATTTAGAACATTTCATTGTTTATCCTGTTAAACTAAAACTTTTCTCAAGTGCACTCTGCATACAGGCAGGAGCATTTATGTCTATTGATGTAACAATATGTTGTAATAACAATTTGCCAAAGCGTGCAATTCTATATTTGTTTTTTCTTTCATGGAGAAAGAGGATATCAATGTGTGTACCTAAATATTTATTTTTTTAAACTATTATATTTAACTTTGACCTTACTTTCTATTTTTTAACATTGTAAGAAACAGTTGAGTTAATAATTTTTGGTTTATGTAATATATTGTTTTGTTTTCTGTAACAAATATAGAATAATAGAGATAGACTATGCACAGTGAAAATGTATTTATGGATCCATCTATTTGCAATCTTTTCCATTTTGGTTTAGTGTGTGTTTTTAATTATAAATGTTTTGGAATGATGAACATATAATTTTATTTTTTCAATAAGGTTTCGTAATTTCTGGGGTAGGTGCCTAGACATAGAAAAAAAAAGTTCATGTGTACTCTTTGAATTTCAGAAATACACACACAGTGACAGTTCATATCATATTTCATTTATTCTTAAATCTTTTTTATGTGGAAGGAATTCATGTAATATTTATAATATTGAGGGAAAAGTACTAATAGACCTGACAACAATACATTATCAATAACAGAAAGGTTGGGAATAATAAGTATTTTTTTTACTTTCTCGTCCTTCGTAAGGATAGAAAGTATGTAATCGTGTGCCTCAAATCGAAGATTTTGACAGAAAAACTATTATTACCAGGCCCTAGTAACAATACTAGTGGTGTTGCAACAACAGTTGCTTACTCGCATCAGCTCTGCCCGCCCTCTGCCCGCCTCCTGCCGCGGCCGGAGTCAGTATTTACGGGTGGCGCCGCGTCCATGGCGAAGGTGCCGATGTTTCGGTCGCCATTCTGCGACCTTCCTCAGGGCTTAATGCCTCAGGGCGTCGGCACCTTCGCCATGGACGCGGCGTCACCCGGACAGCCTAGTAAATATTGATATTCCTCGATCGATTTGAAGTAACGCGAGGAACGAGTTTAAAACGGATATTCTAATTTCTTCTGGTACTTTACATGAAGGCTCAATGTCATTTTAATTTTTTTCTCAAAAATGGCTCCAAATGTATTTTTAACTTCGTTCTTGGAGAGAGTAACAAACGCTTAAAGGCGGTGCAGGTCTCATTTTCGTTGAAATCCCTGAATTTTTGA